AGGATGCAGAGTCCACAGAAGCTGTTTTCATCACGTCACACAGAGGACTCGGCCTCTTTGTTCTATTTGTTAGCTCATCAAAAGGCATTTTGTGCCTTTTCCCCTCATCTGCTACTAGACTGTAAATGTCAGCCACTCAGGACAGCCGATGATGGAGCCGCTCTCTTTGTTTCTGTCTTCTAAAGCCAGAACAATTACAGCAGGGGCTGAAAATGGACCTTTGCTGGGAAAATCCATTCAATATGTTGTTCCAGAAATGAAAGGACTCGGTGTGGATGAAGAAATAATGGCCCACTGTCAGTCTATCTGATGGACCAGAGGAGAGAAATGAGGGTTTCCTCTTTAAGCACACAGTGTGGGAACTGCAGCAGATGTTTTATTAAGTCTGATGAAGGACATTTACACCTTCATTCTCTGATGACCTTCTGAGGCCCTAAAGCACTAAAACACACAGAGCAGGTCAGCATGAGAGGCAAGTGTGAGAGCTTAGATACAGGCGATAGACATCGGGCAGGCAAACCCTCATAATAAAACAAGATATAAACAACTCACCGTGTGGCGCACTCGTTGTTCTCTCACAGCAGGCAGACTCAATTCAACCAGAGAAAGTCCACACCCACTCAGTTCATCCGCATCACCTATACTGTAGTCGTTGACCCCACCATTCATCCGTCTGAGTCACGAGAACCGTCTGAGTGTCATCCCTCACCATTGTGAATCCTGCTTTTATTTCCGTTCCAGCCTCAATCCAATCATGCAGCCTTGATGAATCCCACAGGTCATCTGAGTCTCGTTCCAACATCATGAATAGTCTCACTAAAGTCTTTGCACGTCTAATTGATTTCATGCTTTACAAGCCTGTGGAGATTTAGCGCTCACATCCAGCCCAGACGTGGATGACGATCACATCCAAAGATAATTTGCCCCAGTTTATCCAGTTTGCCCGTGTGATACCCACTAATGTGTGATCACATTTATGTGAATTAATTTAAGTAATTTCACTTTCAATGTAAGTGATATTTCCATTTGGAAATGCCCTAAATAACTACAGTAATCGTAACAGGAAACTTGGTAACTACCCTGGGATATTTGTAGCGGACGCTTCATTTTTATACCAATAGGTGGCAGTGTGAGACCATGGTTTGGCCTGTTGTTAGCAGCCTGAAGCGCATGCTCCGCGCTGTTTTCTCAAAATGGCGGAGTATTCAGGAAACGGCAAGCCACGTCTCCCTGTCTGATCATTTCTCTCCTGTTTACAGGTTCGTATCGTGCCCGAAATACAATATAATAGCAATCACATCCATTATATAGCATAGACTAACCATTACGGTTGGAAAGTGAAAGCGTACAACATTGTGTAGTACAGTAAATTACACTTTTGTAAGTATTTGTTTACGGCTTTAGCAGCATGCTAAGGTTAGCATGTTAGTTTGGGTCGCACACATCCTATGCTCTGTGATATTAGTGATCGGCTCCACCGTTATTCTGTATTGTTTTAGTATCTTGTTTCTGCCATAAAGTGTTTCCGTGAATTCAGTGCACATGTCGAGATGGTGCTGATTATACCATTCTTTCAAGCTAGTTGAGATTTATAGATTTGTCTTGTTGGAATTCATTTTGAACCAAGTCTTACAAGAAAATTGGTCATGTTTATAACATTGGAATGTGTTATGGAGAATGTGTGTGTGAGCTATGTTAAGAATAAGTAAATACACAGTTGTAATACTGTAAAAGTAATGAAAGGAGTGCATAATTGTGAATTTGAATAAATAATGGCGGAGTATTCAGGAAACGGCAAGCCACGTCTCCCTTCTGATCATTTCTCTCCTGTTTACAGGACACATATATAGCTGTCTACAGGTGCTGCCACCCGGTACCTGTAACACCCGCTCACCTGTCTCTGCTCCTGCCTTCCTCCATCAGTCTCAGCGGATGCCGCTCTTTATCAGCATACACACACCTGTCACAGAGTAAAAGTTACTGCTGTTACAATAACTAGTCTGTTACAGTTACTGTAAGCTTCTTAGATTCTCTTACTGTGACGGGGAGTTCTCTGCAAACTCTGTCTGCAGGACCTGCAACATACTTGCATGAAAACACGCAGACAGGCACACACCTTTCTTTCCTACATACTGACTGTAATTAATAAGGTAAAACAGCCTCAGTGTGTCATGTTACTAGTGTGCTAACGTCCGTTTCTGTGCTGAAGCACGGCTGAACTGTCATTTGAGCTTTTTAGTTTTGGAGCAGATGAATCGTCTTTTTTTCTGTTTCAGGTTGACTCTGAGCCGAGGGGCATACCCACGCCCCTCGGCTCAGAGTCAGAAATGAATGGACCCATCAGTCTGTTAGCCTGTTAGATCACCATGGTAACACATCACCTGGTTGGGAGCAGGTGGGCTGTAAGTACCTCTTTTTCTGCCTGCTTAACATCTGCTCATGTGAAGAGTCTGAAGAGGTTAGGTGGACTCTGCGTAGACTCTGTTTGGACTCTGCTTGGGCTCTGTGTGGACTATGTTTGGGCTTTGGTTAGTGTGTTCAGGTTTAACAGAGTGAACAGTGAGCCAGAAGGCATTCTCAGAAGTGGAGAATGCTTTCCCCGTGCCCCTTGGAACACTAAGCAGAGGTCAGCGTGTAGTTGGATGGAAATGGGAACGGTCAGCTCCGTCACATCTCTCTTTCCTGTGCACTCTGTTGGGTCCACAGACAACGAGCTGCCGGTAACCAAATTAAACTCTCATCAGGATGGATTTTCTCCTCCTGATTAAATTGACTCGGCGTGTTGACCGGCTGCTTCATTAACTTCGCTGTCTCTGACTGCCAGTCTCAGCCCCAGCTCTGCGCCTGCTGTTCTCGTTGTTCTGTCTGCTTCTGATTGGCAAAGATCTGCTGTTGGCAAAGAGCTCGAGATCACTTCCATCAGCTGTGTTTGAATGTTGAGCAGACATGAGGGCTAACACAGATTCTCTGCAGGCAGTCATGTGGAAAACTGCTGAGACAAACATGCTTAATGTTTCGTTATATTAAACCTCAGAATGCAGTACTTTAATAGCACCACAGATAAAGTACACAGTACACAGATGTGCTGGTTCTGTACACCATCCTGCTGCTGCTGCACGCTCGCAGACCTGCACAGAGGAGCGTCAGCTGTATCAGACTCACAGGCCTGAATCATTTTCTGCCTTGATTTATTTTTGCATAACAGAGAAAATGTAAAAATAATTTCAGTGTCAGTGAAATCATTTTTTATAAGTGAATGATGCTGAAGCAAGTCTGCATTTCCTCTAGTGATGACTGGAGGGTCACCGCAGGCGTCTCTGTCTGCAGCAGGCCAAGTCTCGGTGTGGTCTGGTGTGGCAGATCTTACCCTGCAGCTGTTGGTGCAGATAAAGTGTAGTTTTCTCCAGTCTGTCCTCTTCACAGCAGGCTCTTCAAACTTCTGCGTCTGAGATGCTGTTGTGGATGCAGCACGCTCCACGGCCTGAGCTTCTGTGTATTATTCCAGTATGCACACAGATAAATACGTCCTCAGCTTCATCTGCTGTACAGAGCCCTGAATCTAAGCAGTCATAGCTGATTTCCAATCATATTACACGCAACAGTAAAAAAACCAACAACCTCAAACACTGACCTTTGATTATTGGGAGGTAAGATTTTCAGAAGTATACATGCAGGAATCCTGCAGTCGGACCACAAGTCTGAATCTAAAAGCTGAAGTAAATGAAATGAAATGAAACAGCTGAAGACGACATTTTTTCAGTCAGTTATTGTTAATGTCGGTGCGTGCACACCTGCAGGATTCATCAGAAGCTGTGTTCAGTATTTAATGTATATGAATCCCTGTTTGTGAGCAGCTATTTGCTTTTCAGTTCTCTGTCCCCCCTGGTCCCTGCCAGAACCGGGGGGGCTGGTTCTGTTACGGCCTCATAGCATCGATGAAAAGTTTCCTCATGTTTCACCACAGTCAGGAACAGCTGAAGGGTTCTAACTAAGCATGCTGACCATCCAAAGTAATAATATAAAGTTAGAAATAAAATACGTTTGTGCTACATTCAAGAAAATTCCAACTTTTAAAGTGAACCTGGAACCTCTGGAGCCGAACACGAAGCAGTGCTGAAGCTCTAAATCAGGGGTGTCAAACTTCAATGAGCTGTGGGCCACTGCAGGCACTGTTGTCTGATTAGCCACTTTAGTGTCCAAGTAGTACAAAACAAACATCCCAAACAAGAAAACACCCATAAATATTTCTGAAAATATTTTGTTTTTTTCAAATATAACAAGACAAAACTGCAAACATGAATGCAGATTTTAACTAAATGAAGCCTTTCATTGAACTACCAAATAAACACATTGTTCCTCTCTGTCTGTCCAGACCACAGCTGGATCCACCTGATCCAGCTGTGGTGCCTTCAAAGACACAGCTGTTTAACCCCACTGTTGATCATGTTGTTTGATTCAGAGAACTCAAGAACCTTTGTAATAACTGTAACTGTAATGTGATTACTTGATCTAGTGTAATAACACCATCACCAGCTCTGTCATGTGACCTGTTGAGATGATCTAACAAAGCTGTGGGTGGGGGGTTAAAGTCAACACCCCCATCATCTTTGTTCACACGCAGCGAATAAAAAAGATGGGGCATGTCCTCATGAGCACATGGTCTGTGGGTGGGACCGCAGCCTCAGATTTACAACCAAGGGTTGGCTGTAGCTCAGGTGGCAGAGCAGGTCAGCCAGTAATCAGAAGGTCGGTAGTTTGATCCCAGGCTGCCTCCTGGCTGCATGCCAAATATCCTTGGGCAAGATACTAACCCCATGTTTGCCTACTGGTGGTGGTCAGAGGGCCCAGTAGCGCCAGTGTCCGGCAGCCTCGCCTCTGTCAGTGCGCCCCAGGGCAGCTGTGGCTACAATGTAGCTTGCCATTGCCAGTGTGTGAATGTGTGTGTGAATGGGTGGATGACTGAATGTAGTGTAAAGCGCTTTGAGGTCCTTAGGGACTGAGTAAAGCGCTATACAAATGCAGGCCATTTACCATAATTATGAGACAATTTCATCTTACAGAGTAAGATGACCTGAAGAAAGTAACTAATTACGTTCTTCAGTGAGTAATTAAGTATCATACTCTTAAGAAAAGTAGTAATTAGTAATCCATTACCCCACACCTTGGCTATGATCATTAGTGAGTCCTCTGAGGGGACAGCTGGGACTCTTAGGCCAAAACAATAAGCACGCCTGACCCTCTGAGCTCTGCTACACCTGCACCTGTAGAGCTGGATGCACAGGTGTGGGAGATGCACGTGTGCCGAGCCCGGCCGAAGTATCACATGCCCTCTGGCATCCATCTACATGAGTGTACCTGCAGCCCTGAGCACGTCTCATCGGCACTTTAAGGATGACTTTGAACTACCTGAGGAAACTTCTTTGGATAAAATTATTAATATAAACGTTCATAAGAGAGGGGCGATTAAAGAAATCTATGCTATATATTAGATCTTCAATCTCCTTCTCTCTTCATCCTTAAAGCACAGTGGGAGAAAGACCTTGGGATGACTATAACAGATGAACTCTGGCAATCTTTTCTCCGGAGGGTACACTCTTCTTCGATATGTGCCAGGCATGGGCTCCTTCAATTCAAGGTCCTACACCGATTACATATCTCCAAGGAAAAGTTAGCCAAGTTCTATCCAGGAGCTGACCCTCTGTGTAACAGATGTAAAGCAGAAACAGGTTCGCTCCTTCATACCTTTTGGACATGCCCCAATCTTCATAACTATTGGGTGTCTATATTTAACACTCTGTCAGAGATGTATAACGTTAAATATGATCCTTCTGCTCTAACGGCTATCTTTGGGGTGATACCTCAAGACATCACTTTGCCAAAATGCTATTCGAATTCTATTGCCTTTGCTTCACTTATCGCAAGGCGCCTTATACTTTTAAGATGGAAGCAGGAAGCTCCTCCCACACATGAACAGTGGCTTGCAGAGCTCATGAGGTTTTTACATTTAGAAAAGATGAGATATACACTGGCAGGTTCAACCACCAAATTTCTTAAGGCATGGCAGCCATTCCTGATGTACATGGAAACATTTAAAATGACCACCTTATCATGACCGGATGCCATATCTCTATATCACTATCATAGTTAACTGTACGCTGAATGTCCCTTATACATTTTATTTTTATATTTGTTTGTTGTTGTTTGTTTGTTTTTTGTTGTTTTGTAGGGGTTTCTTTGGTTTGTTTGTTTGTTTTTTCCTTCTCTATTTCTGTTATCTTTTGGGGTATTGTAAATACTGAACAGCAAACTACTGTATGTTCAATGTTTTGTTGTTAACATGCTGCTGTGACTGAAAATAAAATTCATTTAAAAAAAAAGGATGACTTTGGTTTAAATGGTAAAACACTGAGTGAGAAAGCAGAGGTGAGCAATACTTCCATTCATCACTGACTAGTGATGAAGTCCTGTCTGGGCTTCATCATCAAGTTTCAGTTCGCTAAACTGAAACTTCATCTTTATGAGCTTCACGTATCAAAAGGAAAGCGAGCTCGGCTTAGCTCGGCGGCGGTAACGAAGCGCTTTCATTACGTTTCGATCAGTCGACTGATGCCGCCTCTGTGTTCAGACTCACAAAGAAAATCAACAGCAGGCTTATCAACGTTTCTTTAATTCTCCTTTATCAGAACTGTCACATAGCAACAGAAACAAAGTCATACATATGTCAGCTCCCTGAAGGAGAAGCTTTTCTGCTCTTTTAATACATGAAAATACCCATTTTGTTCTGTCAAAATAAATACTGAAGAGTTTTATAAAAGTCATTTTGTCTCCTTTGGACAGGTTATGGGAGTTATATGTTTAGTTTATATACACATTCATGCTGCAGGCTGTGAACAGAAGTTAAAGAACCCGTCAGAGGTTTGGAACAAACCTCTGATGGGTTCTGCAGACGTGATTCAGAGAAGGAGGAAGACGCACCAGACGTGCAGCTGGCAGCTGCTGTTCACATCCTGCTGCATGCATACATTCTGCACTCTGCTGGAAGTCTTTATCCTGATTCTGTCAATGCCATCAATGAAAGATCCAGCTGTGTTTCCTATAAAGCAGGACTTGGACAGCAGCCATGAAACGCTGGAGCATGTGGGGGGGCGTCCTCCGCCTGCTCTGCCGAGAACCTTGGTCCCAAGATGATGTGTGAGCTCACGAAAGCAGAACCCTGTTGATCGCGGTGGATAAACTGGAGGTTATGAACACACTGAAGGTGTAGTGCAGTCACAGCCCCTCAAGATAAGAAGATTTGTTGTGTTTTTGTGTTTCTCTCTCTAAATGCTTTGAACAAGCTGAAATTTAACTCATCTGTTTCCTTCCTTTAACCGCAGGAACAAACTTTGTGTGGCCAGATTAATAAATACCCACTACATCCTGCTGCTGCCTGTGCTTTTAGGCTCTAGTGAGAGTAGAAACTGACCTCTGTAGTCACAAAGCCAAACATTAAACGAGCTCCTCTGCAGAACTCTGAGTGTGAGCATGCAGTGTTAATCCAAGGCTGTCGTCAGACTTGATAAGACCTACATGTTTCACACGTGGAGGTGTTTCCAGTTTGGCTGCATATCCCTCTGGCCTCACACTTGCTCTCCAAACAGACAGGTGATGCTTTTGGTCTGTTTAAAAAAAACTGTCCCATTAGAGTTTTTAAAGGTTGGAGAGCCCAGGTTTCCAACACACACAAGGACGGGCACCGACTGATGTCACAGAGAAACAGTTAAAAGGAAGACTGACGATTCAGAGACACTGTCTGCAGCGATGTTAGCGAGGGACGGATCAGCTGCTTAAAGCCAGAATTTACTTTAGAAGGAGGCGATGCTGCTGCTCGCCAACTGGCTCGGATTATCTTGCCCGCACACTTCATGTCACCGATGCTCAGAACACTGGATGACTTAAAGATCAGCTGTGTGAGGACTCTGGTGCCACACTCATAATAACAATAACAATAAATGAGAAATCATTTTGAAAAACTGCACACTTCCTGTTTGGGCTCCACATCAGGAACAGTTCAGGAACTTTTCATGACAAAAGCAGCTTTGAAGAATATTTTCTGTTTGCTAAAATCTTCACGGCCCTTTACGAACCTTTTGCTCTGCTCTCCCGCTCTCAGGGGCACTGGCACAGAAACAGGCAGCCTGGGTTGGAGCTGCACCTTCAGAGAAGCGAGCAGTGAGAACAGCATCTGATCTGGTTACAGGAAATTACTCCAAATTGCAAAGGATTGTGGGCAGAGGTGGAACGCGTCTGAGCCCTGAAAGCCAACTGCTTTTCAATTTTGGAGAATCGATTGCAAGTACATTATGAACCGAGGTCTAACCACGGTCTGGGCACGCTGTTTTCTCATAAATTCTTATGAGTTGGTGTAAACACGGAACAATGAGGCCTTAATTTCAATGTCTTTAACATTTAAAGTAATTCTCGAGTCCACAGATACGCGTAGGAACAAAACACGCCCGCGTTACCGGCCTCGCCGTGCATTTGCAGGCCAAAGCATAACCGAAAAAGCTGTGTTTATGACCACGCTCACCATCTGCACATATCCAACTGCAGCTGACATCCACCCGTGTGCCGGAGCAGCACGGTTGGATGTCAGTCTGGCAACTTGAACGTGGTTGGATATTTCCACTTAGCCATCTCTGATGATGAGTAACTACCTTTCCATGTCAAGAGCTCCTCGTCTGTCTTTGTGTTGCAGCATCAGCGCTCAGCAGTGTGTCCCTCTGATTAAGAGATCTGAGAGGACTGCTTGCCTCTGCCTCTGTATGACATCAGCCTTGGTCTCTGAATTTTGTTGCTTTACAGATATCTTTTCATTAACAGCTCTGTGCAGTGAGAGGAATGTTTTTATCAGCAAAAAAAGAAGTGCCAGAAACAAGAAGTAGAATTAGCTGAATGTGCTCCAGCACCACTGTTCCCAGTAAAGAGAGCAGGAGGCGAGCCTGCTCCAATGTTAAACTTTCATGTTTGCTCACAGTCAAACCTTCAATCGTTTTTTTGTGAAGAACATTTTGACCAAAAGAGGACCACAAATCTCCACAGTAAGCAGATACTAAGCAGCCCTGGAGTGACCTGGGTTTGTTGGACTGTCACGACCACAATGTTAGCAAAAAGGGCCAACTTAAATCAGCGGCAGAGAAGCTGCGGCAGCAACATTAATTTCATCATTGTCCCGCCAAAGCACAGGATCTGCCTCTGGAACGTGCTTCTCTTTCGCCTCCTGCTATTTTCTAACGCTGTGTGTGTTTTGGAGCTGGGTCACCATTTAACCGGGTGTGTCAGACCTGCCACCGACTGTAAAATGAAGATGTACACGTTGCAGAGCTGCAGTTCGAGCCTCACATGCCCAAGTCTCTCAGCCACCTTCAGCACAAGTGAGGGTGATAGGGGACGACAGCGGTGACATTCATGCTCTGGTGAGTTTACTTTTAACCGGCGTCCAGCGTGTCGTAGTGCTCAGAGACTCTAGAGGTGCTGGGCCGCGTAAAGCTTCCTCGACTCGAGGCCTTTACGCACCGAGCGCGTTGCAAAAAACTAAATTTGGAATTTTTCACATGCTGCAATTTGTTACCAAACGCAGCGATCCGATTGGTCAGACTCAGTTTAATCTGGAAAAACAAACGGGACAGATTCATCGTGTGAAATGACACGGCCGATGTGTGACAGCCTTTAAGCCGATTTCTTGTGCTAATGAGAAAAAACACAACAGCAGCAGCAGGAAGAGTCCTGCATGGAGGCACGCAGGGAAACAGACGTGACTGCGAGCGGTCGGCTTGTGCAGGTTTCATGAGTGCAAATGCTTGTTTATGCAGAGGGGACGTGGTGCGTCAGGGTGGGATGGATGTAACACGAGCTGAATCACCTTTGAGAGCCTCACAAACACTTCTGACGACACCGAAATGACCAACACTTCCAATCACTCATTGCAGCTCTCACTGTGGAAGAGAGACAATCACTCAGATGGTGGCGTATGAGCACAGCAGCCTCTGTAATAATGCACTTGGACAGTTTAAATCAAGGCTTAAATGCAACCTTTTGCTCTCGGCCGAGTGAGGATTCATGAGACTTTGTGTGGATATTCGGAAAAAGCAGTTAGAAACTGAAACACTTGGTTTAAAGGCTCATTTACAGGGACATCGTGGAAACAACGCAATCACAAACGGGTCCGCTGAGTGTCATCGGAAAGCTTTGGCCACATGATTCACTTCCAAGTCATTAATCACATTCTCCTACAGACGCCACCGCCATGTGTGGTGGCCAGCGGCCCACTGATGACATCGCCGTCCTGGTTCTGCTCAGTGTCATCCGGCCTCTGCAGACGACAGAACCAATGCGACATGGCGCTGGCTTTATATGCTCGCCTCACGGGCGGGTCATGTCTCGGCAGAGCTTTGAAACCAGATGGCCCACTGGCAGTGCCCCGCCCCTCTGACACACCGCTAAAATCCTGCTGGGCTCTAGATTCGTAGCATCGATGACGGATTTCAGCTCCAGATGTGTGAAGGCGGCGGTGTCCGTGCCGTTGGTCACAAGCAGGACTCGTGAGACTCTATGTGGGTGTGCAGGGACTTCTTCTCCTGCTCTGAGTGGTTCCCATTGTGGAGCACGCAATACCTGAAAACACAGACGGAGGGAGTTAATTTAACAGGCAGAAAGAAGCAGCCTCCAAAATGACAAATCTGTTCCACTATTCACACAGCTTTCAGTGTCTGCTGAGGAGCACGTCACGGCTGTAAGACCATTCAAATAAGCAGAATACGGAGAATAAGGAGCGCATCGAGACACTAAACCAGCACACATGCACAGGCTTCTGCTTTACTGTTGCATTTATGCTGAAAGCTGACACTGACTGGGCCACCACAAAAATCCATGAGCTCATCGGAGCAAAAGTAAAACACCTGAAAAGTGAAGGAAGGGTCTGAATGAGAAGTCGGAGCGGAGTGGATGAGATAAGTGGTGTGGAGTCACATTAAACCATCTGCAACCTGACCAACACTCAGAGGAGAGGACGGGAAACCCGAGCTGGACTCAGATGAAGCAGCTCTGAGACTCCAACACAAATAAATAAGAGTAGTCACACACAAAAGGAAAAGTCACTTTCTAATTAAAGAGAGAGGGACGTCAGACCGGGGAGTGATCTCAGCTAACGCCTTTTATCGTTGTCATAATGGGAAAAGAAGTGTTTCAGGAGCTTTTTAACACCGACAGCAGTCAGACTGGGAGGACAGTGTTCACCAGCTGAGCTAAAACACACTCCATCTCCAAACCAGAGCTAAATACAAGCGTGAAACCAAACTGCTGCACTTCATATCGATATAAAAACGAAATAATGAGAGGAGCTGGAGGGAGCAACCATCTTTAAACACGTGCAAAACCAATGAGATGCAGACTCAGAAAAAAGAGCACCTAAAATAAGTTTCATATTAATGTGGACGAACGTAATAATCGAGCACGCTGTTGTGGTGTGCTGCATTTTCAGCTGTGAATCAGCTGAGAGTATTATTATTAGTATTACTGAGAAGAGAAAAAGGAAACATCAATGGACTTTAAGTTTGAAAAGGCCAGTGAAGATGTGCCTTCTGCAGCTAATAAAAAACAGAGGTGTCTGATATTAGAAAATGACCCAGCTGGGAGGAGGTCCCGGGTTCAATGTGAGGGCTGACGTTCAAGTGCTCAGTCTCGTTCTGAACGCGCTGATTCCAGCATGATTTCCACCTGCAGCCTGGAGCTCACAAACCTACAGAGAAAACTCAGGACCCTGCTCCAAGAAATGTGTGTGCACCATGTGGGGCACCTGTGTGCACGCACTGTGTGCACTCACAGGTGTGTGCATGCACAAAGTATGTGATTGCATACATGTTGTGTGTACGTAGACAGTGTGTGCGCAGGCTAAAACTATTACGAGCTGTTTACGCAAACACCCCGGCCCAACACACTTCCTGCCGACTAACTGGCCGTGAAATGCGTCTTCCAGACAGCCGCGAACATTTAAAGCTTCTCAAATGCAGACAGCTGCACATTCTCGTCATAGCACTACTCCAAATTGCTGCCACATTGCGGCGTTCAACCCTCGCCAGCCTCGCTGAGGGGGGAACAAAGATGCTGGCTGAATCGGGACCCTCACTTTGATTCCAGGGCCCCCCTTACCTGCCAGCGTCTGCACTACAGATAAAAGTTCAATAGGCACAGGATGTGACATCATCAATGGATCACCCCGTGGGTATTCAGTCTAATTATTAACGTGTTTATGTGAAAGAGGCGGAGTTTACAGTACGTAACCAATCAGGAGCATGGACAGGTGTACAGAGAGCAGAGTATTGTAATTATATAACAGTTGCCTTAAGGTGCATTAATATCTTTAAAGGCAATAAACACTAAAAAAACAAAGGAAGATAAAAGGAACATATTAGAAAATCTTCCATATTCACTTAAATTAAAAGACGTGTAAGACAGTTAAAGTTAACCAGTCTCAGGGGAAAAATTATTTCAGCATTAGTTTTATTTTATTAGTCATTTTTAGAAGAGTAAATATGCTCAGTTATACATTTTATATGAGTGAAACATGTGGTAGGCTTTGTAGTATCTCACACAGTCAGCTGTCATCTTCAGTGACTGTGGTGGGGATGAGATGGAGTCAGTGTGTGATGACTGTGGTCACGGTGCCAATTACACTCGATTACCTGCAAAAATCACAGGAATTCAGTTCAAGCTCAGAGGTCTGAAGCAGAAATTCCTCCACCCACAGTGACGTAGTGGCTAAAGCAGCGGTCCCCAACCCCCGGTCCTCAGACCGGTCCGTGAGTCGTTTGGTACCGGGCCGCGAGAGTTGAGGCTCTGGTGTGAAATGTATAGTTTTCAGGGTTTTTATCGGTTTTCAGCGTTATGTTATCGTTTTTATCGTTATCTCGGTTTTCCTGGGTCTTTTCACGTGTGTTATGAATAAATCTTCTTTTTTTCGGTACCGGTACTAGTTTTATTTTGTTGTATTCATCCGCGACAAAATATTGTCGGGCATAAACTGGTCCGTGGCGCAAAAAAGGTTGGGGACTGCTGCGCTAAAGAGCTGACCCCAGTCTCACGGATCGTTCGTGATCATGGCGAGGCTGCGGTCCTGTTTTCACTAAGGTCTAAGGAATCCTCCAGGAACCTTTGAACCACAGAGCTGAACCTGAAGCATCCCTCCTGCTTCACCTTGCATCCTCGGGTTTGCTGCCGGTTGTTTCATGGCTTCTGCTCCTGGATTTCAGGCTGCAGGTCTGGTTTGTGCTCAGTTCAGATTTGGTTTTTCTGTGAGCCTCAGACTGTGGCAGAGCTTCTGTGTTTTTTGTTTCTCCACATTGCCGTTAAATTAGAGCTCGCCTTCTGTTTGCCATCGCTGCCTTCGACACCCTGCAGACGCGTCCTCGTGTCGCATAGCTGTGGATCCTGTGGCAGCGAGCCGTCATGTGAGCAGACTGTGCTTTCTGCTTTGCTGCACAGACGTCAGTCCAGCTAGCACCTTTGTGAAACAGCCCAATCAGATACAAGGAAACCAACCATAATGCATTAACATGTAACAAGCAGCAGTTTCATTCATCAGAATCAATGAAGCATCCCAGTGTTTCGTTGAAAAGCTCAAACTGAAGAAAACTAAAAGCTCAAAAAATTGCTCAGCTCTGCACGAACACAGACAGCGGTTCAGGAAGTCGACCAAAGGCAGGAATGCACTTTCATATCTGGAAGAAGTGAAACTGTGGAAACGGATCCGTCCTGTGTTTAGCCGAGGCTTTGTTTGTACACAGCTGAGCCAACGGGCCAACTGGCAGAGCAGGACGGAGAGGCCGGGGAGGGAGACACGAGGCCCGGATCACAGGCAGACTAAACATTTCTGCACATTCTGGGCACTGGTGTGGCCAGCATTCATCTTGATGAAGTGCCCTGAGCAAAACTTTGAACGTGCTAAGCAACGGACATGATGCCCCGTGTGGGCGGGAGTTGAAGACGAATATCAGCCAGATAACGCAGAAACACATATTTCATACGCTGTGATCTGGACTGTGTCACACTTACAGAAAATAAACATTTTCTCTGAGCTCACAGGAAACTTCAAGTTCCCGACTTTCCCGATGCTGATGACAACAGCGAGCATGCACATCTGCGGAAAAAGGAAGAGATGGTGGCATCGTTGTGCCTCTGTAGAACAAACTCTGGGATCGTCTCATTTTTCATTGATTTTCCTGCAGAAATCAGAAGAAAGTTTGATAAATTGAATAACTGAATTTAGAGCCAAGAGTTTCAGTAAGTGTCGCCATTCGTCCTCGTGTTCTGTGTCAGCTTATTAATGCTGTTAAAGCTCATCCAATCACTGTGCACCTGCTCTGACACTCACAGTTTCACGTCAGGCGTGCAGCAGTAAATAAATCACTCTGAATGTCGTGGCATCTTTCAAGAGCACAAGCAGGGATGGAGGCAAACCCAGCGTCATGCAGCACCTTTGGGGGGGCGTGGCTAGTCTGGCGTGGTAAATTGACGCACGAATAACAGTCTTTCTAAGGCTACATGTTTCTGTTTTTTCACCTGTCATTTAACGTTGTCAAGTATGAAAGCCTCAAATCGCTGCGTGCCGCGGCACATTTTAAACCTCACGTCACCTTTGCAGTTTAATTTACAGGCTCAGGGATGCGCTTTACTCAAGCTCTCTCAAACTCTTCTCTTGTTTTAATTTCAGGTTACTGCAGACACACAGGTGTGGCCCCACGTTCTCTCCACCGTCTGTGACAGGAACACATCTGCTGATGGTGAGGATCACCAACCCTCACCATCGAACCAAACCGATGTGAAATCAGCTGCTGAGATGTTCTAGCATTTGAAGCAGCCAGCGTCTCCACAACGATCCGACCCCACGGACGGCCGCTTGATGTGTCGTCCCTGCTCTGTTTCCTCCAATCACAGGTGATCATTACAATCAGGAAGCTCTGTGTGTGTGTCTGTGTGTGTGGTCTGTTTCTCCCCAGTTTAACTGTTAAGAAAGCAGAAGTGAGTCTCGAAAACACGTTGGGGCGCTGATAAAGGCGGGGGAGGGGTGTGTGTAATAGATTTGAGGGTAATACAATAGGCAGGAATTTGAATAGGAAAGAGATTACGCCGTATTGAGCTAACCGAAAAGAATGAAACGGAGAATTTTATGCAAAAATTATTCAAACTTCACGCCCACGAGGAATGGCTGTTTCCATCTCAGATACAGTCTGGCATAAGAAATATGAGTTTCTGAGAGGACTGAATATGGAGAGGAAATATATTCTACATAAAGCACTGATGTGAACTCCTTTGACCTTCAGGAAGATTTATTTGTTACTATGCAGGTAAGCACGAGCACTCCGAGCACGCAGAATGCCATCACCTCGACTGCAGTAACGCCAGTTTGGGAACAAAAAGAGGTGATAAGGAACTCATTTACAAAGCACCACTGGAAGCAAACTTTTCCCTCTGAGCTGGAAGAAGAAGCCAAACTTCCTGAGTAAAGCTTCACTGTTTCAGAGCCAAAAGGAAAAGCCTGAAAGTGCTAACACAGCTGACGTCAGGTCTGCAGAGGGCATCAGAAGTTTGGACTTTCATAGGATTACATCTGCGCACGT